GAGACCCTAAACTCAAGCCCTGACCTCTGGACCCCGGTGACCTGTGGACCCCAATGTTTCATCTCAGCCATCGAAACCTTTAACCACCCTCCCTATAATCCGATCATAGTGGAGCCCTGAACTGGAAGCCCAGTATCCTTTCTTTTCCTTCCAGACTCTCTCCATCCTCCCACCCTCCCTCCCTCTGACCCATGCTGACCTGTTCCCCTCAGGGTCTGACTCCCCCCACTTCAGCATCCTCCCTATACACATCCTCCCATGTACCTCTAACTAGGGCAGGCCTCGCCCGCCCCACACACACCCAACGCCGGGTCCTTCCCCGCAGGCTCCCGGAGGCCGGTGCCAGTGGGTGGGGGAGGGGCCAGGTCGTCTGAGGCGGGGGCTAAGTTTAGGCACGCTGGGGGGGAGGGGGCCTCGGCCACAGCTGTGCTGGCCCGTCCAGCTCCTGAGTGACAGCGCCGCCTGGGCCTGAGGCTGGGGGAGGGGGCCTCCCTGCTCTTGGGCCCCAAAGCCCTGGCTCTGCCGAGAGGAGACCCCACGCTTCCTCCACGCCCTCCCTAGACACCCCCGCAGACCCCCAGCCCCAGCCTGCAGCTCTGGGGAATCTGGGACCAATGGGAAAAATCCCCCCAGATTCGAGGGAAATAAAAGCGGATCTGGACCCCTTCCCACGGTCCCCAACCCTCGTCCCAGCCCACCCCAAACGCCCACCTTTACTCCCCATCTCCGCTCCGAGCGAGAGGCTGCGGACACTGCTGCTTCTCGGGGATTTTGCCCACTTTGGTGGAACCCGGAGGGCGGGAGCGGGGGGGCGGGGCCCCCTTACACCCAGCCAATGGCTCTCCACAGAGGTGGGGACAGTTCCAAAAAGGGGCGGCTCTCTTTGCAAACAGCCCAAAGCCGTGATGTCTGTAACCAAGCCCTGGCCGTTCGTGGAGGCTGAGCGTATTTTAAAGTAAGGCGGGGTCTATTTGCAATTGGTTAAAGGATGTGGTCGGGGAAGAGGAGAGTTTCTAAAAGGCGTAGAGTTTAATTAGAAATGTCCCATGGCCACATCCAGAAGACAGCCTTATTTTTTCAGGGGTTTGGCTTGTCCAAAATCAGGCTGTAGGGGGAGTACTGCAAAAGAGGGATTATTTTTTTTTAGCAATCAGCCAATCCTAACGCTCGAAGGAGGGCTAATTTCTCAAGTGGGAGGGAGAACTATATAAAAAGAGCCAATGGTAATCTTAGATAAAGGGAAAAAATTTTAAAGGGCGGAGTTTATGATGTCTAGCCAATAGCAATATCTCCTCCCCTCACTCCCCTCCGTTCCTTCAAGAGGTTGGTCCCTTTAAATTCCAATCCTCCCACCCTCGCTGTGGTCCAACCGAGCATCTTCACTCACGCAGTTTACCTAGAAGGTGTGGTTCCAACGTGAATTCTGATTGGTCCGTGCTATCGAGGCTCTGCCCAGTGATTGGCTCCCGCTCCAATTGCCCCCCCGGCTCTTCCTCCTTCTGGTCCAGAGAGGGCTCATCAGGCCAGCAGTTCGAATCCCGGGATCCCGGTGGGGACGGGGTACGGGCCTGGGGGGTCCCAGAGCCGGGGCTGGGCTGTGGAGTCAAGACTTCGTGCGGCGAGGACTGAGCGACTCCGAGTTGTAGGTCCAGTTCTGGCGCGTTAGAGAGAGAAGGCAGTGAGCATTCACCTTGGAGGTGCCCAGAGAAGAGACCACCCACCCCTTGTGGCTCCGGTCCCAGCGCCTAGGACATCTCACCTTTCCCAGCCTCTCCAGCCTCTGATCTGTCGGGCTCCTCGTCTTCCAGCGGGGTGGAGCTACTGGTGGCAGAGTCCTCCCCGGACCCCGCTCCCCGGGCCGCCCAGGCCAGCTGGTCCAGCTGAAGCCCCAGGTCCTCCAAGGGGCGCTCGGCCGGCGGGGCAGCGTCGGGGTCACCGCGGCGCCCGGGCTCCGGGGATTGGCTCAGGCTGGGGATGCTCTCCAAGCTGTCGCCCAGGCCAGGCTGAGGGGGCGGCTCTCGCGGTTCGGAGACTGAGCGGCCCTGGGGCCGGGGGCGGCGGGCTGCTGAATCCCGACGCGCCCCGGAGCCCACCACGCCGTCGAAGGCAATGTAGGAGAAGGTCAGCTCCCGAGGGGTGCCCCAGTCCTGCGACGTGGTTTCTTCCTCGTCGTCCTCCGAGAATTCCCGGGCTGTGTGCAGCTCCCGAAAATCCGAGTCGTCGTTCCCTCCTGCAGAGAGCATCGGAGGGCCGTGAGCGCCTCGGAGCAGCACCCCGACCCTATCTCCTCAACCCTCCCCTCCCCTTCAAGTCCCACCCTCACCTCCTCCCCCTCCACTTACCTTCTGTAGAGTCAGGGGTAGAGGAAGCTGTCGACGGAGCTTCTTCTGCGAGAGGGAAAGAATCGAAGACTCTTAGAAGCTTGGACTGTCCGAATCACAGAAGTGTGCCCGTCCTGGAGACTTGGACGGTCCGAATTAAGGAATCTTAGAATATTTTAATCACGGGACCTTTAGAACATTCTGCATACAGACTGTAAAACCTTAGTATCCCTGCTATCAGAAGGTCAGTCTTAGAAATTCAAATCCAGGAAACTTCATCTTAGAATCCTCAAATTAGGAATTTTAGGTTTCGATTCATTTCATTCCTTCAGTGACCATTTATTGAACGCCTACCTGCCAGCCAGGCACTGTTTTAGACCCTGAGGATACAATTGTTGACAAAACAGACAAAGCCCCTACCCTCACACAGCTTACACTCTATGGGGGAGACAGACAATCAACAAATACCTGATGTTGGGTGTTAAGTGTGCAGAGAAAAACAATGCGGGGAAGGGAAAGTGAGGGGATGCTCTTTCAGACAGGGTGGTAAGGAAGACATCGCCGATAAGATGACATTTGAGCAGAGACATGAATGAAGAAAGGGAGCCATGAGGATATCTAGAGAAGAGTCTTCCAGGCAGAGGGAACGACCAGTGCAAAGGCCCTGAGGTAAGCACTGTGCTTAGCATATTTGACGAACAGAGAGATGTGAAGTGACTGGAGCACAGTGACTGAGGGAGAGAGGGGTGGGAGATGAGGACAGATAACGGGGGTGGGGGTGGGGATCATGTATGGCCTTCCTTTGTAAGCCAAGGTAAGGACAAGATCTTAGAATGTTGAGATGAAAGTCTAAAATGCTGAAACAATAAATTCTTAGAATTTTGGCATCTGGACTCCCAAATACGCAAGTGGCTAGATCTGAGAATGTTGAAATCCACGGGGGTGTGGGACAGAGAATATTTGACAGGGACTGTTAGCGCCCTGGGCTTACAGATCACGAGGATCAGATAAGGCGTTTCCAACGTGGAATCTAGCCGCTCAGAGCTAGCTCGGGGCTCAGCCTACAGAAGATGCTCAATACCGTCTGGAAATTGAAATCGGACGCCGCCCGCCCCCACCTCGTTTCCTCAGCTGGGGAATCGGAGGCCAGGAATCAGAGGCCCAGGGCGGAGTGGGTCTCCTCCACGGTCACTCCCAGTCAGTGATATAATCCGCTAAGGACCCAGGAGTCCTGGCCCCAACCCAGGATGGCTGTTTCCCAGGGACAGGAGGTTGGACAATTGGGGAGAGGCCGGGGCTGCCTCTGGGTCTGGGCAGGAAACGGAGGTGGGATGCCGAAGATGGGTGATGCGGGGTGGTGGGAGGGGGGAAGTCAGACCCCTCTTCTCCATCCTGGTTCTATCCCTCCGTCCAATTCCCCTCCTCGCCGGCTGCGGCCAGCACCAGGCCGAGGGGACAGCTCCTGGCGAGCGTCCTCACGCCCGGGTGGGGCCCGGCGGCGCATCCCAGCGCCCAGCGCGCCCCCCGCCAGCTATCTCAGTGCCCCCCATCCTCCGCCCCGTCTCACTCAGGTCCTCCGGGTCAGGTCGCCCCCGTCGCCGCTGGAACGCGGGGGGAGGGGAGAGCTTCCTTTGTCTCCTTCGCCTCCTCCCCCATCCCGGCTCTCCCGCCGCCAGGCGCGGAGAGGAGACCAGGGAGGAGCCCACCCGAGGCCTCTGGGCCCACACCAGGCTCGAGCCTCCCTCCTACTCACTGCAGTGGGCGAAGACCGGCAGGACCTGCCCCATGGCCCCCCTCGGGCCTGCATCGGGACCCCCGCCCACTCCGGCCACGCCGCCCTGGGCCTGGGGCCGCGGGCGCTCATCTCCGCCGCGCCCACGACGCCGCCGCCATCCTCGCCGCCTCCTCCTCCCGGGCCGCTCCAGCAGCCGCCGCCGCCGCCGCCGCCCTGTGCTCGGCTCGGCGGGGGCGGGCGGGGCCGCGGCGGGGAAGGCACTGCAGCGCGGGGCCCGGGGCGGGGCCAGAGGGAGGGGGCGGAACCTGGGGAGGGCCAGGGGCGGGAGGGGGCGTGGCTTTTCTACTAGAGGGGCGGGGCCAGGAGGGTCGGCTCCGGGGCCGCAAAGGCGTGGGGGGCGGGGTCTAGGCAGAAAGGGGCGCGGCCTTTAGGGAAAGAGGGGCGGGGCTTAGGCGGGGAGGATGGGGGCGTGGATCTCAGAGTGGGTTGGGGCTGAGCTAGAGGCGGTGCACAGGAGAGGGTATACTCTACCGCTGTGAGGTGGGGTCTGAGCCTGGATTCTCAGAGGGAGTGGGAAATGGGACGGGAAGGAACTATATACTCAGAAAGTTTTGAGACAAGAGGAGGAGCTCAGACATGGGTGGGGCTTAAGCCAATTTAGAATTATTCAGAGTTGGGCGGGGCCAGCCAGAGACGGAGGAGCTGGAGGCGTGGCCTAGAGGGAGCAGGAAAGAACCGGCAGGGGAGCGGGCGCGGCCAGAGGGCGGGCGTCACCTGGAGAGAGGAGGCCGGCTTTGGCAAGCCAGCGTGGGGGCTGGGCCTGTAGTTAAGAGGCGGAGCTAGAGGCGGGGTCGGGACTGCGAATAATACAAGCATCTGAGACAGTGGGCTTGAAGGGATGAGCGGGACCTGGAAGAGGAGCAGCTGAAGCCCGGGGGTAGGACCCAGACGGGAAGGGTGGAACTAAAAACATAAAGGATTTAAAGATTTGGAAGCCGGGAGCTTGGACGGAGCAGGACTGGGAACCCGTAGCCAAGAGTGTGGTGTTGAGAACACGGATTCTAGAGTTCGTTTCCCTGCAACACTGTTCCCTTCTTCCGTGACTCAGTTTCCTCTTCGGTAAATCGGAGATGAGGACGTAAAATAGTGGGTAGCACATGGGGAGGGCTCGTTTGCTACTATTACCATTTCTTCCTGACCCAGATCCCAAACCCCGCTTTGAAGGTGCGAGAGAGAGGATACCCAGAAGTCCATTCCTTTCTAGAAACTCGACCTGAGTGCAGGTCAGGATATAAGGAGATTTAGGTGGTTTAAAGTCTCACAGTGGAGGGGATTAATGCGGGGGGGTGGGGCGGGCAGGTGCAGAGGGCGGAGCCTTCCTGATCCCAGGGCCAAAGGATGGCAGCCTTCGCCCGCCTGCTGGAGCGTCTCTTCTGGCCAGCTCGCAAAGAAGAGGAGGCAGAGGAGGAGGAAGGGGAGGGGCGCAGGACTCCCCACGGGCCTCAGTTCCTCCTGGACGCGCCGCGATGCGCCCAGCGGCCGCACGGGGGTGCGGCGGCGTCCTGGGGCCTGCGCTTCGGGGCGAGCGCAGCGCAGGGCTGGCGCGCGCACATGGAGGACGCGCACTGCGCTTGGCTTGCGTTACCGGGACTGCCCCCGGGCTGGGCTTTCTTCGCCGTCCTCGATGGCCACGGCGGGTCGCGAGCTGCCCTCTTCGGCGCGCGCCACCTGCCGGGCCACGTGTTGGAGGCGCTGGGACCCGCGCCGGGCGAGCCGGAGGGCGTGTGCGAGGCGCTGCGCCGCGCCTTCCTGAGCGCAGACGCACGCCTGCGCGCTCTCTGGCCCCGCGGCGAGCCGGGCGGCTCCACCGCCGTGGCTTTGCTCGTCTCCCCGCGCTTTCTGTACCTGGCACACTGCGGTGACTCCCGCGCGGTGCTGAGTCGCGCTGGCGCCGTGGCCTTCAGCACCGAGGACCATAGGCCCCTCCGACCGCGGGAACGCGAGCGCATCCACGACGCGGGCGGCACCATCCGCCGCCGGCGCCTCGAGGGCTCTCTGGCTGTGTCCCGGGCACTGGGCGACTTTGCCTACAAAGAGGCTCCGGGAAGGCCCCCTGAGCTGCAGCTCGTTTCCGCGGAGCCTGAAGTGACCGCCCTGGCACGCCAGGCCGAGGACGAGTTCATGCTCCTGGCCTCTGACGGCGTGTGGGACGCGATGTCTGGCGCTGCCTTGGCGGAACTGGTGGCATCGCGCCTCTGCTTGGGCCTGGCCCCAGAGCTTCTGTGCGCACAGCTGTTGGACACGTGTCTGTGCAAGGTCCTGGGGGTGGTGCCTGGGATCATCGAGGGGCAGAATCGAAGGGATTTAGAGAGGAGGGGCTTGGAGAGGCATGAATAAAGCTAGAGGAGGGGGTGGGGCTGCACTAGAGGGCGTGGCCTGCTGGAACGGGGCAGAGCCAAAATATGGAGAGGGCCGAGCCTGAGGGATACCTTGAGGCAAGATGGAAGAGTAGTGGTGCTGGATAGTTAAGAGGGAGGGATTTAAGAGAAAGGGCGTGGTCTTTTGCAATGGGGCGGGCCTGGGAGGTAGGCGTGGGTCCTGAGATATGATCGGTATCAGAAGAGCGGCTATACAGCAGGATGGGCGTGGCTTTGGAGAAGGGGCGTGGTTCTCTTTAATGGGGCAGGGCTGGGACAGTGAGAGGGCGTGGTCTAAGGGTTTGGTCCAGGTGAGAGGGCTTGGTTTAGACTGGCAGATGAGCGGAACTTGAGAGAAACGGGCATAACCAGAATGGGGCGAGGGGCACCCCAACATGGGAATTGTTGGGAAGCTCTGCTTCCAAGGGCATTGGGCCCCGTGCTGGGACATTCAACCGTGTCGCACCAGGCTCTCTTTTCTCCACCTTTTCCAGGGCAGCCTGGACAACATGACCTGCATCCTGGTCTGCTTCCCGGGCGCCCCCAGGCCTCATGAGGAGGCGATCAGGAAGGAGCAAGAGCTGGACGCAGTCCTGGGCCGCAGGGTCGCCGGTGAGCAGGCGCCAGGAGCTCGGCGGCAGGGGTGGTCAGCAAGCAGGGGAACCCCCATAACCCCTGCCTCCTTCTCAGAGCTGTGTTCCTCTGCCCAGGAGCCCCCCAGCCTGAACACGGTTTTCAGGACTCTGGCCTCAGAGGACATCCACGATTTACCTCCCGGGGGGGGTGTCTACTGCAAGTGAGTCGGGGTGGGGTGGGGTGGGATGCGGGGAGGGTGGTCGGAGGAGGGTCCCCTCCACAGGGCCTCGCTCTGCTTTCCAGGGCCGCTGTCATCGCTGAAGCCTATTCTCAGCTCTGCCAGGCCTCAGGAGAGCGCCGGGAGGTGAGGACCCTGTGTCTTGAATGCTACTCTCAGGCCCATGTAATCCAGCCCCACCCCTTTGGTGATGGGGAAATGGAAGTCCGAGGGGACAAGGGACTTGCCTGATATGTTAATACATTCTCACTCCTGGCCCTGAAGCTTTGTGCTAGACATGATGGGTCGGGGAGGGATGCTGAGCGGGGAGAAGAGACTGTGTTTCCCTCCAAGAAATGTGTGCCCTGCCTTGCTCCGTAAACCTCCGTCATCCCCAGCACCACCCCCTCCATCCAGAAATAAGGCAGAAAAATGCAAGGAATGTTGATGACCAAGGCCTGGTTGTGCTGCAGAGACCACCAGGACGTCCCCGAGGTGGTCCAGGTCTTGGATAAGAGAGGTTGTAAATTGGATCCAGGGAGCCTCGGAGAATTTGGAGATGTCCGAAGAGGTGGTGGGAAGAGCCACATAAACGAAGGCACGGGGCGGGGGTCAGGGAGGAGATGGGAGAGAGGAAGCTGGGACCAGAGCCTGAAGGCCTTTGCCGGGCAGAGGGAGTTTAGCTGTTACCCCTCAGAGGAGGGGGGTTGCTGGTGGTCTCCCAGTAGCACTGGGACTGATGTGTCAGGATTCTTTGAAATGAGTGAAAGAAACCCAATTCAACCTGGAAGAGGAAACCAGGGAATTTACTGGGCCAGGTAATTGAAGAGTTCAGAGACTTGAGGCATGACCTCATCCGCTTGTCAGATGACGTCATCAGGAACCATCTCTCAGCTTTATTTTCTCTGAGTTGGCTTCATTCCCAGGCAGGGTCTCCCCGCATGAGGGGGCAGAGAGTTGCTGCTCCAGGTTCCTGTCCCACAAGCCTGCCATCCCCAGAGGAGAGGGCACACCAGTCTCCCGGGAGTGGTAGCGGTGGTTTCAGAGCTGGTTCTCAATGGCCACGCCGGGTCACATGCCTGACCAGTCCCTGTGGCTCTGAATGGCCAGGCTGGGGTCATGTGCCCCACCCCCAGGGGTTGGGGGTCTACTCCACCAAAACCGGATCGATTGAGAGATGGGGAATGGTGGACCCTCAAAGAAAAATGACAGTGGAGCTTCCAGAATATAGCGGAGTAGATACTAAAAGGCAAGGAGGGGTTCCTGTTCATCGTCTCCCACATTTTGTGTTACAGAAGGGGCAGAACAGGGCTGGGCAGCCCACTGGCACGCATTCAAGCTCTGCTCTGGACTTGAAGACATGACAGCTTTGGGGACCCTTTGCCCAGTTGGGGTCTCAACGGAACTAAGGAACAAAACTGCCTTTTTCCAGCTATGCAGACTAGCGGAAGGAAGATAAGCCGATGGAGGAACCCCACAAAGCTTATTTCCCCATCTCCTACTTCCCTCTCACAGAAAGTCTTATGAGAGGGGAAATTCCACTCATCATCTAGACTTAAAAATAAAATCCCAAACCCAATGTTTCTGAAATATTTAGAGCTGAACGGACCCTGAGAGATCACCTAGTTCAAGAACCTTCTCTGCCCCTTCCCATTTTTCATGTTTTCAGGTGAGGTAGGAAAGAGTCTTAATTGTTAAATTTTAATTACATAATTCAAAATACATTTTTCTGCTTGGGAAAAAAACACCACCATTATTTGCCCGGTCATTTGGCAAATATGGATTGGGGATCTCCTTGTTCACAGCCACGAACCGGGCAGACCCACTGAAATTTCTGCCCCACTGGGGGCCCCCTCCGAGTGTGGGGGAGACAGCCAGGAAGGGAATTTATCTAAGATCATCTCAGTCACTGACAAGTGTCTCAAGCAAAATAAAACAGGGGGAGGTGATAAGGAAATGACTAGGGGAGCGACTTTGGTTTTTTAAAATTGTTACTCATTTATTTCTCGAATGGGTCGTAAGTTTGCTCGGTCGGAAATTCAAAGGGTACAGAAGGGTGAACGATGAAAAGCCTTTCTCCCTCCCCCGCCCCACAGCCACTCAATTTTGCACCTGGGGATGGTCGCTTTAGACAGAGGGGCTCAGGGAAGATCTCTGTGGAGGGCACGACTGAGCAGAAACCTGACAGAGAAGGAGGCAGCCATGCAAATACCCCAGAGAAGAGTGTCTCAAGGCAGAAGGAAGAGGCAGTTGGAAAGCCTAGAGGCAGGTGGAGACTTGGCATTTTCAAGATAAGGCTTGAAATCTTTATTTGAAATCAAATTGCCCACAGCCCCATTCCTTATCCTATTGGTCAGCACTGTGGTGAGTTGGGAGTAAATTTTTCCAGACCTTTTACTCTGCATGTACACACACGTATGTGGTCCCTTAAGGTGTTTCCTTCATTTTTGTCATACCCTACGTATCATTTGGCAATTTGTTTTTTTCACTCAATAATATGTTGGAGACCTCTTTCGTGCCATTTACACACCTCATTTTTTTTAGCTGCTGCCCAGCGCTTCAGACGAGGGATGCACAATGGTTTCACTATCCATCCTCCTCTTGATAGGCATTCAGGTTATTTCCAATTTCTTGTTCTCGCCTCCTTGCTGCCATCAAGATCCTCGATCAGGCTCCTTGTGTACATCTAAGAATGGTTTTTACATTTTTAAAGGATTAGAAAACCAAGAACATGCAAAAGAGACCCTATGTGTAATATGCCTAAAATGTTTACTATTTGGACCCTTGTAGAAAAAGTTGGCTGACTAGTGCAGGGGGCACCCGAAGTGCCACCCCTCCCATTTCACCCGTGGGAAGCCTGTGACTTAGAGAGAAGGACTTGTCCGCTGGCAGCCCGAGGAGATACACAGAAAAATAATTATAACCTACGTGGATCAGGATTCAAGATCTCCCAGGGTAGGGTCGAAGGGGAGAGGATTACTCAATTCTTCAGACAAGAATTAACGTCAGAGAATGGCCTAGAAGAATGAGGTAAGGGAGGTCAGCCGCCATGCGGGCAGGAGACCCGACATGGACAAAGGCTAGGTGATGTCCTCCCCAGTCAGCCCTGAGGATTGTTGGTTTTACACTCACACCTCGCACCCAAGCACAACTGGGGTTCTGGGGCTTCAGGCAGGGGGGCTATTGCCGAGATTTATAACCTGCCTCCAGGCCTCAGTTTACCCATTTGTAAATGTCTCACACGATTTCCCAAGTTCCTGCCCCTGCCTAGGGCACCTTACCCGGGCCAGGTGGCGCTCTACGGGAGGGGTGTGACCACACGGGTGACGTCACGTGGGGGCGTGGCCTGCGGGACCCGCTGCGGAAGCCTCAGAGGGTGGCCGGGCTCAACCCCTAGCCGGCGCGTGGGGGAGGGGGCTCCCGGGAGCTGGCACCTGGGAGGGTCTTCCCGCCTCGGTGCCCTCGATTGCAGGATCCCGCCATCCTCTGCGGGCGAGACTGAGTCACGGCGGGGCGTGCGTGGGGAGGGGGCCGGGGGGGCTTGATCCACACGGGAACCTGGAGTCCCACCCCCACCTAGGTTCAGCGCCGCCCCCACCCCCTCCCGCCCCCACTCTGCGGCTGTGAGTCAGCCGGCCGCGCCCCCTCGGCCCACTTCCTCCTTACCTTCCCGGGCGGGCCGGGGGGCGGCGAGAGGGACCGGGCCCTCCCCGCCCATCCCCCCTCCCTGGGTGGGGGAGGGGGCTCACCCCCGAGTAACCCTCCTCAACTGGCAGAGAAGAGAGACGTTGGGGGGCGGGGTCCGAAGGGAGGATTTAAGGGAGAAAATTGGAGAGAATCGATGATGCTTAACCAGAGGGTCCTCCTCGCACCCGCCCCCCGCCCTAAATTGAGCCGAATGTAAAGAAATGGAGAAGTCGATGGGGAGGTGGGGAGGGTGAGAAGAAATTCTGCCCCCTTGAGATCTCTCTAATAATCTCCACGGTGGGAGGGACCGAGAGATCACGGAAGGATCCCATCCCCTCCACCAAGCTTGCCCCCTAATTTGGGGGCGACCCCCAGCGTGCATCCCTATGCAATCACCTTGGGGCAGAGGGAACTAGCGGCAGGCTGGGGTTCCGCGTTGCCAGTTTAAGCGCCCTCCAGCCTCCCACCCCGCCGCCGGGAGGTGGCGGCGGCCCCTTTAAGGCGCAGGGCATTGTGGGTGCGGGGAGTGGAATTTTGGAACGAAATGTAGCGAAGAGAAGTACAGTAGTAAGAGTAACAGTGTCGCCGTCGCCGGCCGAGGGGCGCGCCGCCGAGGGCACGCCGCACCCCCTGCTGCCGCGCGGACCCCGCGATCACACCCCCAGAGGGGGCAGGCGCCCGAGGACCCGCCCCGCCCGCTCCACGTTCCCCCCAGGAAGCCGGACTCTATGGGGCGGGACCCTGGGGGACACTGAGCCCAGCCCGGCGCCGGCCCCGAGCCCTGAGCCTCCAGCCCGGGGCGCCCCGGGAGCAGCCAGCCCGCGGGCGCGCCGCCCGCCCGCCCAGCAGCCATGAGGTGAGCCCGGCCCGGCCTCCAGCCCCCTCCCCGCCCGGCGCGCGCTCCCCGCCCCGCCTTTGTCCCCCCCCCCACCCCCCTCCGCTTGCTCTGGGCTGGAATTTGGGGACCGGGCATGGGGAGCCTCGGATGGGAGGCCGAGCCCCCTGGGACGAGCTCGACATAGCAGCCCCCTCCCCGTGACTCCCCAGGCTCTGGGGTGGGGTGGCGATGAGGCTCTCCTGGGAGCCCTCGGATTTGGGGGCGCTCCGAGGACTGTCGGATTTTTGCAAAGACTTTTTCAGAGGACCTCCAAGTTGGCAGCGACTCCCCGCGGGGAGGCCAGGGTCGAGGCAGGGCTCCGACTGCCCCCAGATCTCACCTCGGGCTCCGGGAGGAATGAGGGGCGCCCCGGTTTGGGGAGCTGGGTGAAAGATTGAGATGGAGCCCTTGGTTTGTGGGGTCCCCCTTTACGGGGCGCTGGAAAAAGTCTTCCCAAGTGGGACCTCGCTCCTGAACTTCGGGGGTACTTAAGCTCCTCGATTTGGGGGGCCTCTCAACCTCCTGTGGAGGAGGTTGGTGCGGACAGATCCACGGACTCAGATGCAGCCTGGAGGGTCTGGTTGGGACTCCCCTCCCTCACGCCCCCTCCCCATCGGCTGTGCCTAGGACCGAGCGAGCGCTCCGCGCGGAGGGCGGCTCCCCGGGCCAGAAGGGCGGCCCCTCTCCCCCACCTGCGCGGCCCTGGGGAGGGAGGGGGCGCGGCAGCTGGGGGAAGGGGGGCCTTTGTCTTCCTGACTCACCTGTCGAGACAGCTGGTGTGGGGGGCGGGCAAGGAGCGCTGCGGGCCGGCTGCTCTCCCCACCCCGGCGCCTCCCCCTCTCTCACCACAGTTCCCCCCCTCCCCCCAGCCATCCGGAGCTGTGGGGTTGGAGGAGGGGCGCCGAAAAGCTTCAAGGTCATAGCCCTCGCCCCCTGGGACCCAGGCTTCCCATAGTTCCAGCTATCTTCCCAGGATTTTAATACTGGGGGTGGGGGACCCAAGGATTTTGTCTTGGGTCCCTCCAAAGTCCTGGGTTCACCTGAGGGCGGGGCCAGTGCGGGCTGGGGGACCGGACTAGGCCCCCCCATTCTCCCCTCCCCCGACCCCCCATAATCTCTCCCTTGGGGCCTGAGCCTGACAATACTATCTCCCTTCCTCCGCTCTCTCAGGGACTTCCTGCCCCAAAGCCCCCAGCTTGAGGGGGGAGGCCCCTGGAGACCGCTGGGGCTTAACCCCCTGGTGCCCACATCCTCCCACTTCCCCCTTCCCCCATACCCCTGCCCTCTCACATCAAGGTGGCCTGCCTTTTTATGACCCTTCAGAATCCCCCTCCCACATTTTTTCCCTCTGATGTGAAAGGAGGTGTTGGAAAATTTGGAGCAAGGGGGCACCCCCAGTCACCCTCAAGACTTCCTGCCTACCCTTCCCGCATAGGAACGTCCCTGCAAGGTCTGCCCTGGAGAGGGGCTTGTTTTCAGGAGCCTCTTCCTTCACCCTCTTTCCCGGGGACTCTCCTCTCCCACTGCCCCCCAGCGCTGCCCCTCGTCCCCCCCGTCGCGTTTCCGGTCCCAGGCACAGCGGTGGAAGGCGGATGGCGGATGTCCGAGTGCCGGCTGCCTCACTCCCTGAGACCGTAAAAGGGCAGGAGCGACGTCTGGGCCAGCCTCCCACCCCCTGGCCCTCCCACAGGGCCCCCTACGGCTGGCGGCTGGCGGTGGCCAGACCTCCCACCTCCTGGGGGGTGGGCAGAATTTGAGCCGCTGCCTGGCCCATCAGAGGGTTCCTTCCACCTCCTGTGGGGTCTTCCCAGCCGATGGCCACACCCGCCTTCGTGGGCTGCATTCCTTCTCCCAAGACAGCTAGGATTCAAAACGCCCCATGCCCCTGTATGGGGGCACCTGGGGAAACTGAGGCTCAAGGAGAGAAAGGCCTGGCCCAAGATCACTCAGAAATTGCTAGGCACGGTTGGAGGAGGGGAGGGGACTGAGATTCTCTGATTTCTGGCTGGTTTAGTTGGGGACACTTGGAAGAAAGGATGTTAAGATGGAAAATTACAAGATATAGTTCTTTTTTCTCCCAGTTTGACAAATATTTGTTGAGCGTCTGCTGTGTCGGGGAATCTGAGCTGGGATTCTGGGAAAGCCCGGAAGGGGGGCAGAGGTCTGCGAATCTCAGGGCAGAAGGGACGCAAGAAGAATTTGGGTCCATTTCTTTCCTCTTCCAATAATACTAATTATTATGGCTGTTTTTATTTTTTTTTTAAATAATGAGAACGTTTGAGCTGTCATCTGCTTTGTGCCAGGCACTGTACTGGGCGCCTGATTGAGTTTAATCCTCACAGAAATTCTAAGAGATTGATACTCTTATGACAGTCCCCTCCCTCGGATGGGAAAACTGAGGCACAGAGAAATTAAGCAAATGGCTTATTAAAGTCAGTTTGGAAATGGTCAAACCTGAATTTGAACCCAGGGCTGACTCCAGACTATTATGCTATTAGAGAAAAAGCAATATAAAACCTTTAATGGTGTTTAAAAAAAAATGCAAATCATATGCTTTCACTACACCAGTACTTAAGGCAAAGCGGCAAAAATTGCCCAGGTGGGAACTTTATCTTCCTGATCACTTCCGGGAAACTGAGGCCCGTCCTGAAGGAGGGACTACAGTGAGCCCGCACAAGCCCCACAGACCCTAGATCTGGTGCCCTATCCAGGGTTGCTTCAAAGATTTGTAGTTTAGAAAAGGTGTGTGTGTGTGTATGTGTAGGTTTGGGGCTGGATCACAAGTTTTACGGTTTAAGGGGGCTATGGGGCAAATCTTGGAGGTGGGATGAAGGGGTGCAGGGAAGGCCAAGCCTCTGATCTGGAAGGTTTGAGTAAACCAGAGTGACTATGCTTGATTGCCTCCAGTGATGAGAAGCTCTCTTCCTCCTGTTTTGACTCTCAGCTTACGTGGAGCCTCTGCCAAGTTCTAGGTCCTGAGGTTAGGGTTTTTCTTATCTCTCTGAATGCTTACAAGAAACCCAGTGAGTTAACGGTTTCCAGGGCTGGAAACTGAGGCTCAGAGAGGTGAAGCCACTCAGCAAGGAGGGGACTTGACCCCTTTTTCATCTCTCACGTGCTAGAATTTCCCAGAAGGTGGGGACTTGTGGGGAGGGTTGGGTCCTGGGTTGGCTTCGGATTAAGATTCCCCCATGTCAAATGGAGGGTTCGAGACCCCAGGAGACCACTGGAATGAGGCAGACCATGTCCCCTTCCTCTGCCCTCCCTCCCTCGGGGCAGCCACCTTAGTCCCCTGGGAAGCAGCCATTGCATATATCGTGGAGGTATTTTTATCTTCCCCACCTTTTTTTTAAACCTCTCATACACACCACTTTATACCCTGCCTTTTAAAAAAGTCAGCTGAACTGTTTCCTCATCTTTGAATGAGGTTAGGAACTTGAGTGGTCTTGGGTTCAAATAGGAGCCCCTCTGCTCACTTGCTGTGTGACCTGGGACAAGTGTCTTCATCTCTCTGTGCCCACTTTCTCATCTGTCAAATAGGAAAGCACCAGAGTCTGTCTCCTGAGGTCACTGCAAGTTTCAGTGGGGAAACTGGAGCTCAGTACCTAGAACTGTGTCTGGGACACAGGCTAACCAATAAATGTCCCCTGCTGTGGTTGGGTTTTCCTCTTTTACAGATGACTAAGTTAACAACTGTTGAGTGCCTGCTGTGTGCCGGGCACCGTTCTAGGTTCTGGGGACACAGCTGGGAACAAAAAGGACAAAAATCCCTGCACTCCCGGTCCTGATGTTTTGGTTGGAGAGACAGGCAGGGATGGCTGCTATGAAATGCGGGACGTGGGATGAGAGGGCAGTCAGGGAGGGCTTCTCAGAAGAGGTGATGTACGTCTAAGCGGAGACCTGAAGGAGGTGAGAGTCCAGGTTGAGGAAGAATAAATGCAGAGGCCCGAGGGGGTATGCGTCTGACATGTTGAAGGAGCAGCGTGGGGGCCAGTGGGGCTGGAACAGCGAGCTGAGGGGGCCGGAGGGGACGAGATCAGAGATCACGCAGATCATGAAAGCCATGGGAAGAGCTTGGCTTTGATTCTGCGGGAGCCAGGGGAGCTTCCGAGAAGAGGAGGGACATGATCCGACTTGTGTTTTAACAGGATCCTTCTGCTGTAATGGGGACATTGCGACCTGGAGAAGGGCAGGACCAGCCTGGGGTCACTCAGCAGGCGCCCAGCTCTCCGGCCAAGCCAGAACCTCGGCAGGGCAGGGCCGCCTAGGAGAGCAAAGTGCAGCCAGGGTGGGGCAGCAACAACGGCCCAGGGCGCCTGGCCAGAGTCTGCCCTGGGTGTGGGTGGCAGGTGCGGGCGAGGCCTCAACCCGGCCTTGCCAGGGGCAGTAAGAGCCAGAAACAGCCCCCGAGGCTGCGCTTGTCTGGAAACAGCACCTGGCATTTGGGTAGGGCCCACACAGTCCCCAGTGGTTAAGACTGTGGACTTGGGAGCCAAGTGGCCTGGGTTCAAATCCTGCCTCTGCT